TCACTGACTCACTCACTGACTAACTCATTCACTTACTCACTCACTGAGTCACTGACTCTCTCACTGACTCACTAACTCAGTCACTCACTCACACACTCATTGACTGACTGACTGACTGACTAACTGACTCACTGACTCTCTCACTGACTCACTCACTCACTCACTCACTCTCTCATTTTCTCTCTCACTCTTTTTGGCTCACACTGTCTCTCTCTCTCTCTTTCTTTCTCTTTCTCCCTCTTCCCATCTTTCTCAATTTCAGTCTGTGTTATGTTTTGTGTTTATTTTTCCAGCAAAACACACATGCACACATACTCACTGTCTCTTTTTCTCTCATCCCATCTTTCTCACTTTCAGTCTGTGTTCTGTTTTTTTTTTATCTTTCCAGTAAAATAAGGGCTTTAGCTTGGGCCTCATCCTCTTTATCTTGGGCCTCATCCTCATTGTAACAATACAAATACTGACCCTTATCCACACACTGTGAGACATGTTGGGATATGGTGCTATCCCCATATCTTTATAGACCAGTCAGTATTGATAGGTGATTTGCTCAGTATCAGCCAGCCCCATTTGTTTCCTAGAACATTTTCTGATACTTAACTGAGGCTGGGTCCAACATGGAGCTTAAGTTTTTTTTTTGATCCTCAGTGATTCTTATAAAGGTATTTCTATGGCATTGATTGTTGTATCCTCTCTCATGTATAGACAGTTGGTTGAACTGGGCTTTGTAAAGTCAAGTGCAGCTGTTGTCTAACTGATACATTTTCTGTACTCGTCATCATCAAGTGTCTTGCCAAGTTGGCCTGGACAATCATGCTTCTGCACATCTTCAACAACACGTATTATTTCATGTGCTGACATCTCCCTGTGTTGTTAAGTAACTTCTCTTATTGATGTAAGTGGCTCTGCCCAAAATTCATACTACTGTTAGCCTATCTCTAACATCCACTGGCAATTTCAAATGGAAGAAGGATATATTTGGGTAATACTTTGTTCATCCAAGGACATAACTCTATTATGCCTGTTAACAGAACAGCTGTGATATTTGCCCTTTTCAGAAAATTGTTGAAGGATTATCTTTACTGTCAAAAAATAAAGTTTGTTTGTCCTTTCATCTTTCTTAAATATTGGTATTCTAAGAGTATTCATCTATTAATTTTCAATTTTACTTAAATGATTGAAAAGTGATATTACAGAGTTAATTAGAATACGTGTATATTCTTTGTATTACACACTTTTTTTTCTGCTTGAATTGCTTGTAGTGTTTGAAAGCTATATTAGTTATGCTATGTAAGCACAGTTCACTTTGATTTGCTCTGTAAGCAGCACTAAAATTACATTGGTATATGAAGAGTTAACGCTTGTTTGCTATGTAAGCACAAATAACAAAGCACAAAAAACATTGGTTTGCTATTTAAGCACAGTTAACATTAGATTGCTTTGTAAGCACAGTTAACTTTGTTGCTACACATCTGTGTAAGCACAAATAACATTAGTTTGCTGTGAATGCACATTATTGCAGTGTCTTGTCTTGTAACGTTATACACCAGTTATTTGTGAAGTAAAATAATGATCATAAGAAAAAGCACTGACATCTAACGTGAAATTTTGGTGACTTGTGTCCAAAGGCAGACTATAAAAGCTTGAAAGGTGCAGACAATGCAGCCATGCTGTAAAGTGGCACAGCATGGTAATGTCTTTGGAATAGTGAAGAAAAACTATACTGGAGGGAAGGTTTGAAGGCTAGCGATACAGTGATACAAGTGGGAAAAGAGCTTCACAAGATGGATAAACGGCAGACTCAGAGAGCGTATCCTTGATGAAAGCCAGAGCAGGTTGGAGATCCACTGCAGCCAGCCTTCATTCTGGAGAGGGAAAAAGAAATAAAGCAAACAATC